CACACTTAAAACTGCTCTAGTCATAAGAGACGGCTGAGGAATGGAATTATTTAATGGATCCCACAAACAGAAATAAAATCGGCTAATGAAAAGTGGCATATTCTCTTCCATCAAGTGGGGTTCCTGGAAGAAAATAGTAGTGTTTTTGTCAGAGAAACATTTTACAGTTGTGTGTCTATGACTGGAGGATTTCAGGGGTTGAAAATGCTAACTCTTTTCCCACCCGATAAAAGATTCTGCCTCTTCCTGTACCACTAGCCTCAAGCATGTGCTGGACAGAAGCACGAACAGGCCTTATTCTGAAGTCACTCTTTCAGTAAAATTGAAAATTGCTCTTTCAGTAAAATTGATTTGGAAGAGTCTCGTTGAAGCCAAACAAAGAAACTATACATACATTTCATTATCAATGTGGCTGTGGCTCAAATGCTCCAAGATCTGAGTATCAAACCGATCTTCTCAAGTTCAGGTTACTTGAATATAGGCTCAAGCAGGTACATTTAGAAAAGACACGTTACCTTTTTTCTTTGGTAATAAAAGTTATGGGTCCTTTGAGGTGAGCTAGACTGCTGAAGACTTCATGGACATGGATGTGTAACTTTCTTGGCAGCCATACAAAGGTGATTTGCTTCAGTGTTTTTCTGGGGTGACTTTTGACTTCCTGTTTAACCTAAAGTCCTGAGATTTTTCTGATAGCCTTTCATGAAAGCACTAACCAGGCTTGACAAGGTCAGCTAAGTGCTGCCACCTCCTGAGGCTTTTCTGCAATAGCTACCTTACGCTCCTGAACTGTAATTATACATTGTTTCTGGAATCCTTTTTTGTTAAGTTAGCTGAATTTCAATAGTTTGAATAGTAAATAGCATTTTAAGATAAATGTTCTCTATAGATCAAGGAAGGCGTTATTAAGCCAGCAATTCACATTTAATTTTTTAGCGCTAAACACTTCTTATTAAATCAGTCTAGAAATGGTTTACAATTTTCAGCTGCAAATTTCTATATTACATAGTCATTAACTTATTTCTCTTCTACTTTGCTCCACATATTTTACTTCTCACTATTTCTGTATGCAGATACTTTTAGATTTGACCTGCTTATTGAAATACATGGCCAATACTATCAACTAAGAATGATGAGTAATCTATCCTAGAACTAATTGACTGTGAGAAAATGTCCTTGATTTAAAAAAAGAGTTGTGTTCTATTTCCTCCATTGGCAGATGTAAGTAGAGGTTGAAGCTTATTAGTCTGAAGCTTGAATGGGCTTGTTAAAATGGCAAAAAGCCATGCCTCAAACCACATAAATATAAGAAAGGTTTATTCAGTGTTTCCCAAACTTGACCCTTTGAAGATGTATGGACTTCAACTCCCAGAATTCCTCAACCAGGCATACTGGTTGGGGAATTCTGGGAATTGAAGTCCATGCATCTTAAAATAGCCAAGTTTGGGAAACACTGGTTTAGATCATTGAAACTTTGAACTTATTGTTGCATATTGTTTGGGGCTTCTTCAGTTTACAAATTATCTATGAAGAACTCTACAGATTATCTACAGCAGGGATGTCAAACTCAAGGCCCGCGGGCTGAATCTGGCCCACAGGGTGCTTAAATCTGGCCCATGGGGCTGGCCTGGAAATAGCAAAGTACCAGCCTGCAGTGCCTCTGGCAGCCAAAATGGGGCATTGGGGGGGGCGTGTGTGGCCCTTGTGTGCCCCATTTTCAGCCTGCAGCACTCTGCTGGCCAAAATACCCTGTTTTGGCTGGCAGAGTGTTGCAGGAGGCGTCCCCCCACCCTGCTGGCCCGCAGAGGAGAACTACAATGCTGATCTGGCCCTCAAAGAAATCCAGTTTGACACCCCTAATCTACAGTCTCTGGTGTGAGCTAACTCTGATTCAGAAAAAAAATTGGTGATATGCTATCTGGCAACTCCAATAAACGAGAAAAGATAACTTTGATGCTTCTAGATAAAAATTTCTGAATAATGGGTCCTGGTTTCATATCAGCAACCATCTATTGCTATTTCAATACAGGTATAGTTATATAGGTGTTGAAAGTATTGGGTATACTTAATTATTCATTTGTTAAGCATTTCATCATTTAATAGTTTTTTTTGTATATCTCAAATGCATAGTACTGCCCCCTCATATTTCTTCATAACAACAGCCCCAGCATGACAGTTTGAAGTATGAAGTAGTTCAGTTGTAGTATTAAATCACGTTTTGCACTGATGAAATTGAATTTTGAGACTGTGGTTTGGATTGAAAAACATTCTTGGTGTATAGTACCCATCATTTGCCCTGTTTTTCAGATCTGTCAAATAGTTTGTGTAGATTATGGACTCAGAATGGCAGTCCATGTTTGTTAGAAGTCTTCCTTATGCCATTTATCAAACTGGCTGTCTAAAGTTGCCATTGCATTTTATTTCATCAATATTATATGGGAGGAACTAATCTGAAGACCAAAGCTAACAAAGGGCCTCAGACCAGATTTGTCAATTACAATAACAATGCACTGACCACTTCTCCAAATGAGAGATGAATGGTTCTCAGTCCACCACTATATTATGTGTCATAGAGTCTGCAGTAGGTGCCTCTCTTCCTTATTAAAGGTTTTTCTGGTATCTGCAATACAAGTATCTTATAAGAGTTCTTCACTGAATGCCTGATTGCAAACTTTCTAGTTCAAGTATTGGTCTGAGAAAACACTACACCTAAGGTCCTATAGATGTTGCTGAACATCCGCTAAGCTAGCAATATCCATCTCTGATCCATAAATGAGGTATTTGCGAATTATTTACAATTAAAAATTCATAACTCACCCAGTTTAGCAGGATACTTTTAAAGAAAAATAAGTACAGATAATCTCTAGATGAAGTGTCCTGAAATATTTGTTTAATGAAGGTAATGAAAATTGACAGCATATGGCTCATATAGTGTTGTAGAACAAACTTGTCATTTGTCGGAACAATAATATGAACCAACTGTGATTCCTTATAGTTGATTATAGTTTCAGATCCAGATTATTACTGTTTCTCAGGTGGACCAGGAGTGTTTTCTAATTTCTATTGAAGCTTCATTATTATCATTATTCCTTCTGTAAAAAACTGATACTGAGGTTCAGAATATTTTTTGAAACAATGTGTTATATGGTCAAACCAGTTGTTAGCTGGAGACAGGTTAGTTAAGTGCTGTCAGATTTGATTCTGACTGCATAGACCAGGGGTGTCAAACTCACGGCCTGTGGGCTGGATGCTTCACATGCTGGCCACCCCCACCCCCATTTTAGCAAAGGGGGAAAAAGTTGCGATATGTCACATGATGACAATGTGTCGTCCTGAGTTTGATACTCCTAGCAGAGACCAGTGTTTATTGTTCAGCTGGTCTCCAGTAATAATTTTTAGTTCTCTGAAGGGCATTCACCCATTTCATCTGTTGTTATTCTCTCCTTCTGATTCCTTGATCCTTTCTAAACATAACTGTTTTATTCTATCCATCATTCACTTGCATCCCATTTCTAAAGCATGTTAAGTTTCTATTTTCTGATCATTCTCAATAAAGCAGTTAGCCTGTCGAGGCATGTCTGTCTCTACAATGGATTCAGTATGAAGGGCATGTTAGGCTGGTTTCTAATCAAACCTGAAATTCAGTTTTGTTTAGGGTTTATGCTGCATTTTACTGTCTCATGCCATTGATTTTTCTGAGGAGTCTAACTTTGGCACAATTTCGAATAAGAACTGGAAAAAAATGATTCTGTGCTGTCCTTTAGTAAGATATGGCTTACGTGTGTATATCCCACAAAGAGGTTTCCTGAAATTGGAAGATAGTATTTGATTTTGTTGTAATTGGTAGCTTAGACTTAACTAATAGTAGAATGGTCAAAACCATATCTTCCTCCTGAAATATACTTTGTGGAAAGCTCTGAAGTATAAAAATTATCTGTGGTTTGATGTGGTCAGGGATTCATTTATTCATTTCTGTTTATTTTTGCTTTGGATATTGCATGAATTTGGATTTGAAAATTATAAGGTATAATTTGATACATGAAATTAAAAGCTAACATTTAGTCTCAAAAAGGCTATAATATCTACTCTATAAAAGCATCATGTTTTCCTTCTCACAAGAAATTTTTGGTTATGTAATATGATTTTAGAAATGTATGAATTGAAGTTTTTTCAGGTATAAATGACTTTAAAAAGTTATGTAGAATGTTATCTGCAATTTTAAAGAGTTTACTTTTTACTTTAAAATCCTACCAACCCACTGTGTGGATTATTGGAAACTATGCAGAGATATAAATATTGCTTTCTTGGCAATCATGAAAAAGTGATTTGCCACTGTTTTCTTCTGTAACTTTTTTTCCCATTTCCCTATCTATTTATTTCTTGATAGTTTGTCATACTTATACTACCCAGGTTTGACCCTGCTTATATTTTTGTTTTTACAAGTGTATTCACTTAATTTTATGTGTAACCAATCTCAGACCAGTCACCATTCATGTTTATTTTCCAAATCTATCGACACCATATGTACATATTAGTTTTATGTTTCTTTAACTCACATAACTTATCAAAGGAATGATAGCTTAATGAATATACTAAAATAGACATTTAAAATCTTAAAATATACTTAAAATAAATAAAATAAACAGTAGTGACTAAGGCATACCAGGCTAAAAACCAGGAGACTGTGAGTTCTAGTCTCACCTCAGGCATGAAAGCCAACTGGGGGACTTTGGGCCATTCCTTCTCTCTCAGCCTAAGATACTTTATAGAAGATGTGCTAGGTATGTTTGCTGACTTGAATTATTTATAAAAATAATAAAGGAGGGATAAAAAACCTAATTTTTTTGGCAGAGATTTCCCATCGTTTTTCTATCTCATAATTCCCTGGAAGACTGAACAATTTTTTCAATTATAAGTTGTAAGTATACACATACAATATATTTGGATTCAGGTGCCACAAATGATAACAATTGTATTTATTTTCTTTCTTTTCTTTTGAACAGGAGTTGATAAATGATCCTTTGTACATAGGTCTGAAACACAAACGAATCCGAGGCCAGGCTTATGATGATCTTCTAGATGAATTTATGGAAGCTGCAGTTTCCCGGTAATATTTCTGCATTTTGTACCACTGGATGTTTTAGGGATTTATTGAGAGATGGAACGACAATTTAACTTAGAAGTTAAGATGCATACTTTTTACACGCTTACAAATACAGATTGTACTTGTAGCTCATTGGTTTATAATGTTAAGTTGTTGTGAATGGATTTACCATTTCACAACAGTAAGAAGAAGTTGGGGAGTCTCTCTCTATATTAGGAAATCTTTCTTTTTATCTGTTTTCAAAGTTACTTTAAATTTAAGAATCAGAGTTTATTCTTATTTATTTTATTTATTTATTAGATTTGTTTGCTGCCTATCTTGCTTTGAGGAGACTCTGGGCGGCTTACAACAAAAAGCAGCTGGCTTGCATTTACAGCTAGTTGCAGCAGTAATTATTTATTTATTAAATTTTATTTATTTATTTATTAAATTTTTATACCGCCCCCTCTCCCGAAGGACTCGGGGCGGTGAACAGCCAAGATTAAAAAACATACAATGTAAACATTAAAATACATTTAAAATAAAATTAAATCCAAAATGGCTCCCCAATTTAAAACGGCTTACCCATAACCCTATAATTAAAACAAATTTAAAATTTCTATATTAAAAGGGGGAAGATTTAGGCCAGGCCAGCTTGATGAAATAGAAGAGTCTTAAGCGCGCGGCGGAAGGTGCGCAGATCCGGGATCCTCCGTATCTCCGGGGGAAGCTCGTTCCAGATCGTAGGTGCCCCCACAGAGAAGGCTCTCCCCCTAGGGGCTGACAGCTGACATTGTTTGGCCGACGGCACCTGGAAGAACCCCTCTCTATGGGAGCGTACTGGCCGGTGGGAGGCTATTGGTGGTAGCAGGTGGTCCCGTAAATAACCAGATCCTAAGCCATGGAGCGCTTTAAAGGTGATAACCAGAACCTTGAAGCGCACCAGGAAGACCACCGGGAGCCAGTGCAGCTCGCGCAGGAGAGGTGTTACATGGGAACTCCATGTCACTCCCATAACCACCCGCACGGCCACACTCTGCGCCAGTTGGAGCCTCCGAGTGCACCTCGAGGGGAGCCCCATGTAGAGAACGTTGCAATAGTCCAGATGAGAGGTAACGAGGGCATGAGTGACTGTGCGTAGGGAGTCCCGATCTAGAAAGGGGCGCAACTGGCGGATCAGGCGAACCTGATGAAAAATCCTCCCAGTCACGGCCATCAAATGCTCATCTAAAGACAGCCGTGAATCCAGGAGGACTCCCAAATTGCGAGCCCTATCTGTGGGGGCCAATGATTTGCCCCCAGTAGTCAGCGATGGCACCAGCTGACTATATTGGGACGTCGGAAACCACAGCCACTCGGTCTTGGATGGGTTGAGCCTGAGCCTGTCCCTCCCCATCCAGATCCGCATGACCTCCAGGCACTGGGACATCACTTCAAGGGCATCGTTGGGGTGGTCCGGGGTGGAGATGTACAGCTGGGTGTCGTCAGCATACTGATGGTACTTCACCCCGAAACCACGGATGATCTCGCCCAGCGGCTTTACATAAATGTTGAACAAAAGGGGCGAGAGGACCGATCCCTGCGGCACCCCACATATAAGGGGCCTCGGGGTCGACCTCTGCCCCCCTGTCAACACAGACTGCGACCGGTCAGAGAGAAAGGAGGAGAACCACCTTAGTACGGTGCCTCCCACCCCCAACTCTTCCAACCGGTGCAGCATGATACCATGGTCGATGGTATCAAAAGCCGCTGAGAGATCTAACAGGACCAGGACAGAGGAGCAACCCCTGTCCCGAGCCCTCCAGAGATCATCAACCAACGCGACCAATGCCGTTTCTGTGCTGTACCCAGGCCTGAAACCTGACTGGAACGGATCCAGATACAACGCTTCATCAGGTACTGGGGAAACTGTCCCGCAGTTATAACATTGAAACTGTTTTTTTTGGTTACCATTGCTTGATCAAGCGAAGTGCAGTCCTGGCTTATTTTCTGTAGTTGCTTACAGACATATATACTCTATATAGTTCCAAGTTAAACAAACAAACAAAAAAAAAACAGAACAATGGTTTTGCTTACCATTTCATTAGAATATTGTTAAAACTTGTTGGTAGCATATTTATTTGGCACAGTTGTTTTCTTTGGCAAAGAAATACATTAGGAAGAAACCAGATAATTGTGACACTAATTGGAAATTATGAAAGAATGTTGGGCCACACTGAAACTTTTAATAGGAAAATTTAAGTCTAGTATTCTTAATTTAATCAATTCTTGGCCTATGATTAATTCTTAACTGCCAATGGGCCCAGCTATAGTTTTTATTTATAGAAATTCTTTTGCAAGTTATTCCAGTGTTTATAATCATTGTTGGAAAGAATCTATATTGTTGTCTGTTTGCAAATTAGCGAACTCATCCAGAATGGGGTGAAATTATATCAGGCTAGGAGTTCAGGGTAAATCTTTATATCTGATAAAATGAAGCATTATTTACACAATGAAGTAGAAACCTCTGTACCTTTTATCTATCTGCTATGCTTGGGGTTTGTTTTGGAAAGTTATATGTTTGTCAGTTTCCAAAAGTTTTTGCTTTTTCTCATTAAAATATTAAAAATGTGTGATATAGTCACTTCATGACAAGTCTTATTTACAAAGAGACTTGAAAGTTTAGAAACTAAACAATGAAGTGATGTTTGTTCCATAGTAAGGACAAAAGAAGTTGCTAGATTTCTAAGAATAGAGTATTTTATACTATAGCAGTTTGGGCTCAGTTATGGATTGAGCATAGATGAGGCATATAAAATTGGTATTCCATTATATGAATTATAAAAGGTTGCATCTTTTTTTCTCAGAAAAATACCTTTTGTTTCTATGAGTTATTTTAAGCTTTATGTATCCTTTAGCAGCAGAGAAAAGCCTTTATTATATAAAGATGACAAGGAACATACATGGCAATTTGCAAAATGGCTAGCAGAGCAAGTAAATGTACAGAAAGTGTTATGTCCATATATGGGCATCCCCGCCGGATTGGCTAGACCACCGGCGGGAGATTTGAAGATCTGTCATTGGCCACCTTCCCTGCCGACTCCCTTTATAAGGCGAGCCCGGCAGCACAGCCGGCAGTTCTGATTCTCCTAAATAAAGTGCTGAACGGACCTCTCGCTGCTCGCGTATTCTCATCCCTGCGCCAATCCAACACTGGTGACGAAGGATTTCAAGAACCACAGCGAAGAACCTCGTGGCACGATCGCCACCCAGCCCGACTCAACAGAGCAAGTCAGTGAGCTGTAGTCACTTAGAGCTGATAGCATGAGAACCATGGCAGCGCCACAAATCTCGCTGGCACCATTCAACCTCGATCAGGAGAAGTGGAAAGCCTATATGATTAGGTTCCGCCAATTCCTGACTGGCAACGGCTATGAAGACCTGGAGGACAACCGCAAATGAGTCTTGTTCCTGGCACATTGCGGATCGGCAGTCCTGGAGATGGCCATCGACCTCGTGGCACCCCAGGACATCGAGACCATGGCATGGAGCGACCTCCAAGACGTTCTCCAGGAACACTACGCACCAACTGGCACACCGATGGCAAACAGATTCACCTTCAGCCAATGGAACCAACAGGAGGGCGAATCCATAAAGGACATCGTGACAGCACTATGGAAGTTGGCTGCCAACTGCGAGTTCGATCACGTGGACAACGCCATCCGAGATCGCATCGTCTTTGGGATGCAGGACATTTCCCTGCAGAGAAAGTTGCTGAGCAGGAGAAAGGTCTCGCTTAAAGACGTGATCAAAGAGGCCACAGCTGCAGAAACATCAGAGGTGGCAGCAGCAGCAATGCGGAGAGCGAAGGCAGTCCACAGAATCAAGAAAGCTCCCCAGACCTCATCCAAGGAATCCACCGCGGGATCCGAGTCGGACGAGGAAATGGCGGTCCATAAGGTCTCCAGACCACCAAGATGCGAGACCACACAAAATGGCGGCCGAGAGGAGAGCTGTGCCAGCTGCAACAGCGACCACGTGAGAGCCAGATGCCGGTGGAGAGATGAGACCTGCCACCGTTGCCAGCGAAAAGGCCACATCGCTGAGGCCTGCAGAGTTCCAGAACCAGTCCGGGAGAAAGCCAAGCCGGAAAACCGCGATCACTAGAGGACATCCAGACAGTGCTATCAACCAAGGCGCGAAGGAGATGGGTACCCGTGAAACAGAGCGGTCCACCAAACCACCATTGCCCACACCGATGACCACAGTGCCACAAAGTTCATCATGACTGTGCACATGGAAGGAACTCCATGTGCCATGGAAGTAGATTCAGGCTCCATCTACTCCATTATGGACTGGCAGCAGCTCAAAAAGCTGAAACCGCAAATCTCAAAGAGCCAACTGCAGCCGCTACACGCAAGGCTCGTTGATTTCGGCGGAAACCCCATCGGGGTCCTGGGGAGAGCTTCACTGAATATCAGCTACCACGGTTTCAAGGGCGACCTACCCATCACCATCGTCAAGGACAGCCGCCCGACCCTGCTGAGAGTGGAGTGGTTCGAGCCTCTAGGGCTCTCAATCAGAGGAATCCATCAGATTCGGCAGGACGAACTCGACAAGCTCCTTGAAGAGTTCAAGGATGTCTTCGATGGCAGCTTAGGTAAATTCTTGGGGAAACCCATCTCTTTTGATTTAGATACCTCAATCACCCCAATTCAGCTTAAGCCTCGCAGGGTTCCATTTGCACTGCAGCCTAAGGTAGACGTGCAGTTGGATAAACTGATCGCCCAAGGCATATTGGAACCAATCGATCATGCTGCATGGGAGACCCCCATTGTGACCCCAATGAAGCATGATGGATCTGTGCGCTTCTGCACCAACTATAAATGCACCATTAACTGCACATTACAGCAGAGCGCATACACAATCCCAGTGGTGCAACATCTGTTGCATTCACTCGGGAGTGGGACCATATTTGCAAAACTGGACCTGGCCCAGGCTTACCAGCAACTGCCAGTCGACCAAAAAGCTGCGGAGGCTCAGAC